GCCAGAGCCAGAGCCAACCATCGTTTCGACCCCAGAGGAGGAGGAGGAGGAGGAGGAGGAGGAGGAGGAGGAGGAGCCGATGCCCACACCGCAATCTGACAGGCTTCTGGTCATTTCAGTGCCGTACCAGAGCCTGGTGAAATTCTGTAACCTGCTGAGGGACTTCTTGCAGTTGCTGAGGGACAAAATTGACTGACCAGAAGGATGAGCAGGTCCAGTTCTGGCTGCTGTGGATCAGGACCATTCCCTGATGGAATCACAGCTGAGGGGCCAAAGGCAGCCCCAGTGCCCAGGGCTGCTCTGTCCTCTCCTCCTCTTCCCCTGAGCCCACCCCGATGGTGAAGTTCAGTTTGTTATCAACATAAAGTTGTTCGTGTTCCCCACTAACCACATTTTCAACCCAATTCATTCTCCTGTGCCAGGCAGGGATGGCACAATCTGGGAACCCCGGGGAAAACGAGCCGGTTTGGCCCCTGGTTTGGGAGGAGACGAGGGCGGAGACGAGGAGGAGTGGGAAAAGTGATTTAATAAAGCAGCGGTGCAGCACCAGGAGCAGCTGGAGCGGGGAGTGCTTGGAGCCACGAGGGCCGTGGGGGTGCTGGAGGATGCCCACCCTGAGCTGCTGCTGCCCACCCAGGCGTGTCCCCTCTGCACCAAGGTCCTGCCCCTGGGGCTGCCGGGACCCCCCATCCCACCCTCCGGCCCAGGGGGGATCTCTGGGTCCGGGACGTGCCCTCTGCTCCTCCTGGATGGTGGCTCCAAGGTGCTGTGGTGGCTCTGGAGGAGATGCTGGAGCCTGGTCCCTCCCGGAACGCATCAGGGCTCCATTAATTCCGTGATCCACCCCGGTTCGGGGGGAGGTTTGGATCTCCCGGGGGCTGTCCCGGCCATGGCGGTCCAGCCGTCACCGATTATCCCCCCTCACGGAAATCCCCAGCTCCTGGCGCAGGGGGCTGTCTGGGGCCTCCCGCCCTGCCAGGGCCCCTCAGAACCAGCCACGCCGCGGGCCGTGGAGGCGGCCGAGGGGCTCCGGAGGGCTGGGGAGGGGCGGCGGCAGCGGGGGCTCAGCGGGGTTCTGGGCACCAAGCTGGCACCGGGGGGCACGGGGGCCCAGGGGGCAGCAGGGCGAACGAGGGGCTCTCCAGGGGCTGCCAGGACGCTGGAGGGGCACTCCCGCCCGGAGCCAAACCTGCGGGAGGGACGCGGGGCTCAGGCACCGCCTTGGCCCCCAGCCCCGCTCTGCCCTGGGGCGGGGGACACCCACCCCCAGCAGCCGCCCCGCATCGCTGAGGATCGGGGCCAGCGGGGAGAGGGAAGGGATCCTCACACCCTCCAGCACCCCGGGGGTCCCGCGCCCCTCCAGAAGCTCCCACCCTGCCCGTGCCCGGGGGTCCCAGCCCCTTTTACCGCAGCAAGCGTCGTCCCAGGCACAGGGGCCGGAGGCGCAGAGGTGCAGCGGGGCCGGGAAGGAGCTGAGGCCGTGGCCGTGGAGGGGCTGCGGGGAGCCCGCGGGGGTGTCCGGGAGGGGCTGTGCGGGCACCAGGAAGTGGGATGTCCCGGGGCATCCGTGGGAATGCTTTGGGACCAGGTCACCCCAAAGGAGACCGGCAGAGGATCACCCTCCGGGACGGCTCCAGAAGGGGCTCCCCAATGGGAGGAGCGTGGGCTCCAGAGCCTATTGGGGTGCGGGTCAGGTGTCCCCAGCACCCTGCAGAATGGGCCCCCTGCCGTGTCCTACCTGCGCGGCTGTTGTGGAGGTGGGATGGAAAGCGCGCACGGATCCGCGGGGCAAGATCCAGTCGCACCAGGAGCCTGCGTGGGCACAGGCAGGGAAGGAAATGTCCTGCCTCGGGGACCGCTCCTTCCCCAGACCTGATTTTGGGGCGGGGAAGTCTGACTTTTACCGGGGGGGAAGAGAGGATCCCTGCCTTTTCCCCAGCTCCCAGCAGGGTTCTGGGGAGCAACCTCAGCAGTCCCAGCGCCAAATTTCAGCCGCGCTCCCTCCCTGGAGGGTCCCTGAACCCCACCCCCTCCTCGGGGGTCCCCTCCCCGCTGCTCCGGGCTGTCACCTGTCCCGCCAGCCTCCAGCTGCTGCTTGGCCTCCCTTCGGCTCTTGGCTCGGCGGTTCGAGAACCAGACCT